CTCTTGGGTTGGGGCTGGGGAGATAGTTCATGGTTAAGAGCACTGGCAGTTCTTCCAGAGGGTCCGGGTTCAATTCCCAGAACCCATATGGCAATTCACAACTGTCTGCAACTCCAGTTTGAGGGAATCCGACACCCTCACATAGACATACATGCAGGCAAAACACCAGTGCACATAAAATAATTAAAATATAAAACTCTTAGGTTATTGAGAAGATTAAATTCAAAACCTCAAACTGAACAGGAGTAAAACACACATGTACCACATTAATGGAACTGAACTACAATAGTTCTAGAAATGTTTCACTTTAAATATATTTATTAGGAAACAGAGAGGACTGAAAACAAATTAGTGCTCAACCCAAGAAGCTGGAAAAAGACTAGCAAGTCTAACTCAAACAAAATAGTAAAGGCAACTAAAAAGCAATCAGTGAAAGAGAGAACAGCACATAGGAGATCAATGTTTTGAAATGCCCACTCCTCTTGGACAAATATCAGGCAAAATGAGAGGAGATACAAATAAGTAAGACACAGCACTGGGGAGGTAGCCAGTTTTCAAAGTGATCGCTGTGCAAGCAGTAGGCTCAAAGCTGGATCCTCAGAATCCAAAAAGACAGGCAGATGGTATGTGCCGACAATCCCAGTACTGGGGAGAGAGAGACCAGAGAATGCCTAGAGTTTGCTGTCCCACTAATCCAGCCTAATCAGAGAGTCTCGGGATGATGGGAGACTGCTTGTTGAAAGACAGGTGGATGTCACCTGAGAGGCCATCCTCTACAGGGACACACACACATATATATATATATGTACACATGCTCCCCACAGCACAACAAAACAAGGAAATCTAGAAAAAATGAAAATAAATACAGATATATGGGAAAATAATGTTATGAACAGTAATACATTCATTTTGTGGAGCCCCTAAGAAGCCACATTGATTTCTGGAAAAACATGAAAGTAGGAATGAGACAGTAACAGTTAAAGAGACTGAAATACAACCTTGAACTTTCCCTGAACACCACCCTCCAATCCCCTTATTTCAGGCCCAGTATATATAAGAAGGCCTATCAAATTCTCAAGAAACAGATAACCTGTATTTTCTGTGAATGATAACCCAACATTATGAAAACAAAAAGCTGAGCAAGGTATTTCATAAAGTAGCTCACATCTTCAAAATGAGATGACAGACACATAAGGAGGTGAAAGTTCCACTTTCCCCGTAAACATAGGGAGAAAAATGCTACATGGAATAGGAACAAATGGGCTAGAGAGACAACTTTACTGGTGGGTAAAGGAAAGGCTCTTGCCACCAAGCCTGATGACTTGAGGTTGTCCTCTGTGCCCTGCGTAGTGGAATGAAAAAAAAAAAAAACAGACTCAAGTGTTCACTGGCCTCTACACAGGTGACACAGTACATACATAGTCACAAACATACACAAATAAATACAAAAATGAATGTAAGAAAATTAAAATATGTGAATGAACATATGTAGTAAAGCATTAACATTAATAAACCATGAATAAGGGTTACTCTAGAATGAAAACAATTCAATGACTAAAAAATCTGTGACTGTAATTTTACATGTTATCTTATTGTTAGCCACATTAACAGACTAAATGAAAATAGATCACATACTTTCCTAAGTAAATTCTAAAAGTCATTTGTTCATTTCAACATTTTATGATGAAAACAAATGAACCTCACTCTACAGTCAGAAGGATGTTGCAGGTTACAACAGCAGAAACACAAATTAAGCAGCAACAATGCTGGTTACACACAGAGAATGTTTTATACCAAAACAGATCATCAGAGAACTAAGTTCACATGCCTGGGCATGCCTAAGTTTCAGAGCAGAATCTGAACTCCGTAGCACGTCTACAGGCCATAATAACTCTACAGTGTGCCACCACCCAGCAGGAAAGCTCCCTCCTGTTTACACAGGTGTACACCTAACTTCAAACACAGTTGTGAAGGTACCCAGGGACATTATTTGATCTTGAGTAATCAAGATAAAAGAAAATGAACCAATCAGGTAAGAAAAGTGACTTTAGGTTTTGATTATGTGCCATGAACTCGTGGATTATGATTAACTCAGCCCTGCGTGCACCAAGTTAAGAAGAAAGAAGCCAACTGACCAGCAATGGTTGGGAAATCTTCAACTTCTAAATCAGTTAAGTCAGCTCTAAGATTGCCAAGCAGAGAGCTAGCTGCCCATCTCGCTACACAGTGCGCACTTCTGCACATAAGGTGCCCCAGCGGACTGCACAACATTTTCATCAACACTTCGGCACTTCTCTTTCTAGATTTTCCCAGCACCCACCACTGCCCTTGTGCGTCACAGCACACATTCCACCCAGTCATCTACAAAGTTCCTTTCACCAAGTGATCTCCTATGACGTCAGCTTATGTGCTGGTCCACAGACAAAGGTGATCCATCTTATTGCCCAAGTAAATTTTTGTTTCTTTGTTTTTGGAGAGCTGTTTTCAGGTAGCTCTGGCTGGGCTTGAACTTACTTCATAGCCAAGGGATAGTCTTGAATTGCTGATTTTCCTGCTTAAACTTCCCAGTGCTGAGATTACAGGCATGTACCACCAAAGCAAGTTTTCTGAAGAGCTAGGGATCAAACCTAGGACTTTAGCGTGCTAGGCAACTACACTAACTTCTAAGCCATATCCCAGGCACAGAGGTCATTGTGTATTTATTTTTATTTTTTAAAGAAACGCTTAACGTCCTTTTTCTTTCTTTCTTTCTTTCTTTCTTTCTTTCTTTCTTTCTTTCTTTCTGGAGAGCAAGGGAAGTATACTGTTTTTTTTTAACATAGAGTCGGAGCAATTTTTTTTAATTTTTATTAATTACACTTTATTCACTTTGTTTCCCCCCATAAACCACTCCCTCTTCCCTTTCCAATCCCACCTTCCCTCCCTCTTCTCCACCCATGTCCATCCCAAAGTCCACTGATAGGGGAGGTCTTTCTCTCCTTCCTTCTGACCCTAGTCTTATCAGATCTCATCAGGAGTGGCTGTATTGTCATCTTCTGTGGCCTGGTAAGGTTGCTTCCCCCTCAGGGGTAAGTGATCAAAGAGCAAGTCAATCAGTTTATGTCAGAGGCAGTCCTTCTTCCCATTACTATGGAACCCACTTGGACACTGAAATGCCATGGGCTATATCTGTGCAGGAGTTCTAGGTTATCTCTTGTGGAGCAATTTTTAAAATGTGAAATAGGATTTAGAACTCTATTTTTGACTAGTGTGCACAGTAAGGAGAAGGGCCATCATTCTGTACTCAAAAAAAAAAAAATGTGCTTATTTAAGAGCCACGGCTTTGGGCTTGAATCAAACATTGTTTGAATTTCAGCTGTGGATTTAAATGTCCTGGGAAGACATTGCTTTGTTTAGGCGGAGGATGGGCACTGTCTGAAAGACTGATGACAGGAAGAAGTGAAAGCCTGCGTTTGAAGAGCTTGGCTTGGTGTTTCAGTGTGCATGCAGATAAAGCTGAGGACACTATTGCTGTCATTCATTGCTTCACTTTCACATTGCAGGCTCTTAGGACAGCACTGCCCTCTGTAGCACACCAGCGACAATAAGGGACAAAGCGGCATTTCTAAGACAATCCTGAGCTGGGGACACACCCTGTGTTACACCTACAACCTCTAGAGCCGTGGGTTCTCAGCCTTCCTGACCCTGTGACCCTTTTATACGGTGCCTCATGTTGTGGTGACCGCTAACCATAAAATTGTTTTCATTGCTACTCCATAACTGGGATTTTGCTACTATTATGGATCACAATGTAAATATTTTTGGAGCTAGAGGGTCGTGATCCCTGGGTTGAAAGCTGCTGCTCTGTAGGGATACTGGACAGAGGGGAGGAGAGTCAAGCATGCGGCCTTGCAGCTCATCACAGGGAAGACTGATCAGACACCCAAGGGCGCCTTTTGGACAGAAGTTACTCTTACAGTATTGGTAGTCTTGGAATTCAGGGAAATCTGTTGAATTATAGAGATTCAAGAGATCCCAAACAACAGCCCTAGACCCAAAACTCAAAGACGAGGAATCTGGGTGGGAGTTGCTGTCCATCCAATCAGAAATTAATCCACTTGTTTTGAATCTCAAACTTGAAATTCTGTTTTGTTTTGTTCTGTTTTTTTGGCAGCTGCTTGCTTATTAGGTCAAAGAATTGTGGGAGGGATGGGGTGGACACCGAGCACCTTCTATTATTGGCCTGATTCCTCACAGCCCATTAACTTTGCCTGGGTAAATATTAAGCAGGCTTTGAGTCCCTTGATGCTCCCAATTCTCAATCTTTCTGAAACTGATCCTCCCATGTTTTAATATTTTGTTTTCCCTGCTAGCAGTGAATGTCTCTCTTCAGTTTCCTCCTCTAAAAACAAACAAACAAACAAACAAACAAAAAACAGGGTTCTGATGTGCCATCTTCATGTCCACTTGAGACCACTCCCCAGTACCTATTACCCAGCTCTGTTTTCCTCGCCCCTGAGCCTTAGCTCTGACTGAACGTTCTTCCTCCTGAGCGCTAGAATGGTGCACTGCTGGCAGGGAGGTTGTTTGCTCCTCCTGCAGTCCCAGTGCCTAGGGCACCACCAGGCACATACAGCAAGTGCTCAGTAACTGTTGTCACATTTTTGAGACAGACTTTCAGGCGTTTTCTTCCATTTATCCCGTGTGCTCAGTAGAATAAACCGTGCTGACTGGATGTTCAGCGCATCACCTCATGTGCATATGTGCAAGTTCCCGCCATCACAAAAGTAACTCAAGAACCAACTGGATTCCGTCCCTGAAACTCCTGCCTTTGCTCATGCTCAGCTTCACAGTGTCATCTGGTGTGGTTTTCTAAAGTATGGCAAGTAGGTTGACTTGTTTGGTGACTAATACAGGTGAGTTGAGGGCAGAGAGCATTTAAATTAGGATCCTAGCTCTATGTCTCTGCTTGCAGGGAACAATTGTCCTTAATTATTATCAGCAGATTGTCTCTGGTTTCCTCTAGTTGTGGAGAACCCACACTCCAGGATAGAGCTCTCTGCCTTCTATGCTTGTCCAGGGCAGTCTGCCAAGTGAGTCCTGCTGTGGCTGTCACCCTTTCCAACACACCTCCCCTTGGACAGCCCAGGACTGCTGATCTGGAGTTGGACATTGACTGTTCTTGCCTATTCTTTGCTACGTCAGCAACGCCCACTGGAAGAGTGACCTTGTAGACTACAGATCCTTTGAAAACTCTCCTCTCCTGTTCCCTCTGAGAGCTTGGTTAAAACCATCAGTCCCACGACCTGAGTGCAAGCCTTTCCGAACCTGCTGCCAAGAGCTAGAGATCTCACTCACTGAAGGCCAGCATGGCAGCTGTGATCCCGGAGAACAAAGTCCTGAGCAGAAAATTTTCAGACTTTGGGCAGGTAAGCCTGGTGGGCTTCCACTGAGGGGAGAGAATTGGCTCCCCAAATGGGAAAGTAATCTGGAAAATACTGGTATTTTCTAGTTTCCTAAGGCCACTAAGAAATATGAACTTATTAAGAGATGATGATAATTCCCAGGAACTCAACTGAAGAGACTGTCCTTAACAAGCAGAGGCACCTCTGTCATTCGAGGATAGAGAGTTTGGGCATCTGAGCGGGTACCTCGATGGCTTCCTCAGTTACCTGTCTTATCTCCGTACCTGGAAATGAAAGGGCTGGTCCTTCATCATCTGGGATAGGAGTCTCACTGCATCTCTTCAGGGCTGTTTCTACAATCTTTTCTTCTGGGTATAGAAATGATAAGAGTGTAAGAAACTTTCCTTTTTTAACTTCCAGGAGATGATCTTGCATGAAGAGATTTTAGGGGGACTTACTCAGATCCAAGGAGGGAGAGAATAAGCAGAGAGGACGATGAAGAGGAGTTAGCCCTGGGAGTGAGTGCTTTGGGGACTAGGCGTTTGCTGTCCTCTCCAGGGAGCACTTGCAGAACATATTCTTTGCTATGATTTATGTTCTTGCCCCAGATTGGGGCATCACAGTTTGTACACTGAGACCCAGACCCTGGAGGTAACGTGAGTATGCAGGCAGCTGTTCTATGCAATCCTAGGAAAGCCACAGTCCCTGGAGAGCTGGGAGGTTCAGGACATCAGGAAAGAGGAGATGTCAAAGTCAACAACTACATAGACTATCAGAATGTGTACTTGGCAGCATGTCATGGACTAGGAGAGATGAGATGCCCTTTCAATTAATTCCTCTGACAGGACTGAGGGCTGAGGAGTGCCTGGAGCTAGAGACTCCAGTGTTGAAGAAGGTTGGTATGAATGGCAGGAATAGCTAGGTAGACTGCAAAGTCTGTAGGTGGCAGCATGTCCTAGACTAGGAGGGCTGCCTTTCTGATCCCTTCCCCTGACAGGACTGAGGGGCTGAGGGGCACATGGTGTCATAGACTTGGTGTTGAAGAAGGATGGTATGAGAGGCAGGCATGTCAGTCCATAGATCCTGGCTCTACCTTATTCTAGGCTCCTATGCTGTTGGCAACGTAGCCCCTTGGCAATCTGGGGGGTTTAAGCCAGTTATCTGGGGGTCTCCCAGATTAGGGGAGGGTCTTACAGCTTTGTTTATAAAACACTTAGGTGTTTCTGAATCCATGGATTGTCCCTACTAAGACACTCTAAGAAGGGCTCAGCCTCAGCCTCAAAAGCAGAGCATTTTCCTTTGAAAAATAAAAATTCACTCCCATTCCACATATTCTAGGGTTAAGATGAAAATTAAACAATGCTTATAAATCTCTTTTACCGTTTCTAGAACATTTGAAACTGTCAATGTGCATTTGGCCAAAGCTGATTTGTTTGTTCAACAGAATGTGTCTTGAAGAGCAGGAAAGACAAACAGCGAGGTAGATGCTGTGCCTGGTGTAGCTGACTCATTGGAAATCCAACACACACACACACACACACACACACACACACACACACACACACTTAAGCTATGTATTGAGAATTCACTTGGCTGAAATGAGAAGGTTGCTCAGTGACTGTAAAATTGAGGGGGGGGTGCTGGAATAGGTTAGTATTTAGAGTGTCTTTTATTTCTATTTGTCTGCAGAAGAAACAAATTTATGTGTTCTTATATTGTTAAATTATATCTATTTATGTGTGTGAGGAGATGGGGTATGTGCCATGGCGTGTGTAGAGGTCAGAGGGCAACTTGAAAAGTCATCTCTCTCCTTTCACAGAATGGGTCCTGAGTATTGAATCCAAGTTTTCAGGCTTTATTTGCTGAGCTGTCTTGCCAGGCCTGTTTGCATTGCCTTAGAACTTTTCACCCAGATAGATAGCATATGTTTGATTTAATTCTAAAGAGAGGGATACTTAAGAAAGGAGCCATCATTTGTTGAAGGCATATAACATGTCAAAGTTGTACTCATATAACAAGCGTAACCAGCCTGTGGGATTTAGCACCTTCACTCACACAATAGATGAAGGAGCACCTACTACGTGCCAGTCAAACCTACAGTGTGCCAGTCACAACAATGTTTTTCTTTTCCTGGTGAAACTATTTTAGTTCAGGAGATAAATGATAAAGGAAGAATAAAAAGCATACTGTAGTTTCTTTTAGAGACAAGTGCTGTGAAGAAAACTTAAGCAGAGTTGAGAGACCAGTGAGGAGTTCAGAGATAACCAACAGGAGAGACAGAGCATCCAGTGCTGAAATCCAGTCTGCTTCCTACGACTGAGCAAGCTCATTGCTTTACTGTAACACTTCCTCCTGTGGGAAAATGCTGAAATGTGGAGACGTGTTTCTTCACCCTGCCCTGCAGAGACAGGTGGCTCAGGACGCTAGCATCACGTGTTCTAATAGTTCATCGGCGCAGATACACGCTTGGGAGTTGTGCACGTAGGAATGTCTCCTGTAAGCCCCAGATCAGCAGCGTTGGCACTAGAACATCCTTGAAAGAGCATATTGCTTGTAAATGTGAAATGTGTAGTTATTTCCAGAGGTAACAGAAGGCATTTGTGTTCACTGCATGGCTAAAGAGAACAGTCTGTGTTTATTGCTGAATGCATTGCTCAGTGATCAAAGTTCCCCATTCTCTGGTTGCTAGTTCTTTCCGTGGCTTTGTTCCCCCTATACAGTTTTGGAGCTACTTTTTCGTGTAAGTCAAACCACATGCCTGTTAGAATCAAATAAGATATAAAAATGCCTTATAAAGAAGATTTGCTCAAGGGCAGGGAGTGGCTAGGTGAACCTGGAATTCAGATCTGCTGTGGCCCACACGTCTCACAAACTTTGAGCTTCCTTTCGTGTAAAGTCATTTATGCTTTGAAAAGAAGGCGCTATCACTGGGAAGTGGTGTGAATCTATCACTAGGAATCAGAATGATACTGTTGAGAAATCTGAACCTGGGTTCAAGCCCAGGCTTTGTCATGCATTAGCTGAACTGTCTGGGACAAGCCATGTAACCTTGTTAGCTCTGTGTCTTCATTTTCTAAAAAAGCATCACCTCCCTCACAGCCATTGTGAGGATTGAACAGTCTCTTCCATGTAAACTATGAAAAGACTGGTAGCTGCTGCCAATGTTAAAATGTATTGAGCATGAAAGAACCTGGTTTGGTTCCTGTAAATAAGTGGATTCCCATTCACAGGCAGACCTGAGTACTGTCACTCATACCAGGGCCATACTATGTTGTAAGCGTGAAATTGCGGACAGTTGTGGGGAAAGTTATAATTTAAGAGCCATGACTTAGTATATATTTATTATCAGTGGTTTTGAAAATTTCCATGGTTGATAGTCATTAAAAATGATTTTCATGATGAAGGACATGGAAAAAGCCCTGTTAAAGACAGGCTCACTGTGGAACACTCAGAGTTAGAGTCATGTGATGGCAATGGGAACAGCAGAAAATGGCCTGGCTCTTAAGAATCATTTCTCAAGATGACACTGGACCTGGTGATTGCTGGACACGCTCAGGAGAGGGCTGGTACAGGGCACTTCCTGGGTTTCTCTTACAGGCATCTTCAACTCTGAAGTGCTGTAGTGTTAGGTGGCCTGTGCTGATATGTACTAGAAATGCCTCGCTTTTTGTGGAGGTCAACAGGAGAGAAGCAAACTAGAAACATGAAAGGACTTTGTTGTTTCAAGGAAGCCAGAAAGGACTGAGGGCTCAGTGTTCTCTGCTGGGAAAGGAGAGTGAAGTCAGGCTCATCTGTGAGTGTCTGGCAGGGTTTACAGGAGAGAGAAAAGAAGATAGGGAGAGCGAGAGCATGAGAGAGAGAGAAAGGGAGAGGGAGAGAGGGAGAGAAAGTAAGAGGCAGTCAGAGAGACAGAGACACACAGAGAAAGAGCCTGCTTTGTGTGAGAGAGACAGAGACAGAGACACAGAGAAACAGAGACAGAGATACAGAAAGAGTGTTCACGTGTATACAGTTGTCCAAGTGCACATGCGCCAGAGGACAACTTTGAGAGTCATTTCTTGGGCACCTTCTACCATACTTATCAAGATGGCTGTCTCACTGGCCTGGAACTTGCCACACAGCTAGCCTGAATTGCCAGGGAGCTCCAGAGAACCACCTGGCTCCGTCTCGCCTGTCTTAGGATTTAAAATCACATGCCTGAGCGATCTCTATAGTTAAGCCTGAATAGTGCCATCAGTGAAAGGGGGAACTTGGTGCACAATGAGACCTATTTCCTGGCTTGATTTCGGTGTTAAATGAGATTGTCCAAATCAAGTGCTGGCATGGAACATTAAAATCTTTAAAAAATAGTACAGTTTTTTGTTTTAAAATGTTTATTTATTTATTGTATGTGTATACATGTGTGCCCGAGCGCGTGCATGCAGGAGCCTATGAGGGTCATTGGAGTCCTGGAATTGGACTCACAGATGGTTGTGAGCCACCATGTAGGTATTAGGAATTGAACCCAGGTTCTTTGCAAGAGCAGTAGGTGCTCTTAGCACTGGGCCACCTCTCCGGCCTCAACACATCATTGTTCTTCAGAAGACAGAAGATAACATAGTCCACACAGGGACACATAACAGGACGATCCTCTAATTTATTTGAAGCATCATCCTATAATTCAATTTTCTGATGAATTTGGTCCTTCCAGTTTCATATAACATCCTGGAAAAAAATCTGAATCTCTGAAGTTACAAATTTTTGTCCTAAGAGACACCAGTGTTCTCAAACTTATTTTTCTGAATCCCTGATGAGACTCTCCCCACTACTGCCTTCTCCCTGCGATGATGGATTACCCACACCGTTACCTTAATTAACTTGTTTGTAAGAGAGCAGTTGTCCTCCCCATTTTCTCCTCCTTTTCAGGGATGTGTTGTGTGTGGGCGGGTACGTGCAGAATATTGTATATTGTTTTAAAACCTAAGAAAATATCTTGTCAAACTTTGGAATGCTTAGTTTGTTCCCTCACTGAAGGCTCCCATCATGTGATAGCTGAATTCCCTTCCATCTCTTCTTGTGACTCTTTTAGGCAATGAGCTAGATCCCTGCATAGGGGACAACTTGATGCTCCATGCCAAAACCCCAAAGGCCACCGAAATGTGCATTTCCACCGTTTTACATAAAACCCGAATATTCTATCTAAACTTACATTTACTCTTTGTTTTAACACTTGGATATTATTTGGCCAGGGGTGATTCTTACTATTTTGTAGGTGAGGAAGCGAGGCCAAGTGATATTCTCAAAATGGTTTCCGTGGAAAATGGATGAGAGAGGAGAACAGCTAGATCTTGGATCAAATGTGTTTATGTCTATGCTTAATGTTTCTTTTCCACATTGTGTTTCCTGCTTTTTTTTTTTTTTAAGATTTTAAGATTTTTTTTCCCACCATTTGATTTTTCTCTAAGAATCACCTGGCCTCTTGTATATGTGTCTGCTAGTCAGAAATCTGGTTCTGAAAGGATGGGCGCATTTACCATAATTCAGATTTATATGTCTCGAAGATACCAGATATGGTCTTGAACTAGATAGGCGCTCGTTAAAAAAGTAATTATTGCCTGTGACTAGTGATATCAATGAGTCATGCAGGACTCTAAAAACTGAAAGCCAACTGAGGAGTGACATTCAGTCTGTCACTGTCCTCTACTTATGTACCTCGGGCTACACTGCCCTCTGTGTTCTTGTAGCTCACTGCGTTCCAAAGCTTGATGGGAAGAAAAAGTTTATGCTTACCCCTTCTTTGGTGGTTTTAAGGGAATGGGTGCTAAGCTGTGAAAAACATTTTAACCAAGTGATCTAATTATGTAGGAAACAAGTTATATCGAAGACTACTCCAATCAAAATGGTGCTGTGTCACTGATATTCTCACTCAAGGAAGAAGTTGGTGCCCTAGCCAAGGTCCTGCGCTTATTTGAGGTAAGCACTGTATTTTTGTGTATCTTGGGTAATCATATAGTCAGATTCTTGGTGTTTAACATTTTTTAATTTCTTTTTTGTTTATTATTATTATTATTATTATTATTTACTTTTATTTTTATTAATTACAGTTTTTTCACTTTGTATCCCCCCTGTATCTCCCTCCATCCTCCCCTTCCAATCCCACCTTTCCTCTTCCTCATCCATGTCCCTCTCCCAGTCCACTGAAAAGGGAGGTCCTTCTCCCCTCCCCTCTGATCCTAGTCTATCAGGTCTCATCAGGAGTGGATGCATTGTCTTCTTCTGTGGCCTGGTAAGGCTGCTCCCCCTTCAGGAGGAGGTGATCAAAGAGCAGGCCAATCAGTTCATGTCAGAGACAGTCCCTGTCCCCATTACTATGGAGGCCACTTGGATACTGAACTGCCATAGGCTACCTCTGTGCAGGGGTTCCAGGCCATCTCCATGAGCGGTCCTTGGCTGGAGTATCAGTTTCAGAAAAGACCCCTGTGCCCACACTTTTTGGATCTGTTGCTGTCCTTATGGAGCTCCTGTCCTCTCCAGGTCTTACTATCTCCCACTTCTTTCATAAGATTCCCTGCACTCTGCTCAAAGTTTGGCTATGAGTCTCAGCATCTGCCTCAATTCCCTGCAGGGTAGAGCCTTTTGGAGGCTCTCTGTATTAGGCTTCTGTCCTGTTCTCTATTTTCTCCCTCCTCCGATGTCCATCCTCTTTGCCTTTCTGAATGGGGATTGAGCATCTTAGCCAGAGTCCTCTTTTTCAGTAGTTCTTTAAGAACTTTGTATAAAGTATTTTGATTATATTCACCCTTCTTCTAGATTTCTCCTAGATTTATTTCCCATTCCGTACCCTTGCCACCCAACTTTGTTGACCTACCAGGGCCACACCCTTAGAGAAGAATACTCAGCTCTTCCTCTTCCACCAGCAACCGCGTGCGAAGAGCTCCTCAGCTAAGGGTGGGACTTCCAGTCTACCTCCCCTTTCTACACTGTCATTGTGTCTGGCTTGAGTGTGTTCAGGTCTTGTGCGCGCTGTCACAGTTGTTTTGAATTCACATGCATAACTGCATTGCTACGTCTGGAAAACGCTGTTCTGTTTTAGTCCGTTCTTTACCTTTGGCTCTTCTCATCTTCCCATTCCTTCTGCAACGATTCCTGCACTGTGGAAGGAGTGGTGTAATACAGATCCCTCTTGTAAGCTGAGCATTCTCGTCTCTTATTCTCTGCACCTTGACTAGCTGTGGGTCTCTGTTAATCACCATCTCGCACAAAACAGAAGCTTCTCTGATGAGAGAGTTGAGAGGTTCATTGATCTGTGGGTGTAACAATGGTAAGTTATTAGGAGTTACTTTAGTATTACACCAGTTTTGCTGAATAACAGGAGTAGGTGTCCACCCTCCAGGGCCTATGGCTCGCTGACAGACCATCACCAACACAGCTAGATGTTTGTCTTCTGAGTGGCTACCAATCCAAGCAATCAATAATGAAGACCAGCCATTATCGTGAACAAATGACATTAAATACAAGTTAACAAAATACCAATGACAATGGCTTGGTGCTGGGTATGAAATCTGGAATTTTGCAGGAAAGGGCTCCAGTACTCAGGGACACCTTCAGCCCTTTCAACCCTATTTTGGACATCTGACATTGCTCTAGGAAATGCAGTGTATTTAAAAGGTAATAGCTGATTTTGTAAAGTGGAAGTGGTAGTTGGGGGCAGATGAACATCCAAGAGCGAGTAGAGGGAGTGGACAGAAAAATGTTTTCTGGCAGACAAACTGATCCTGAAGAGGGCGCGTCTATAAAATCCTCCAGGGGACCTACTTAGCCTTTGTGTTAGGGAGTCACGTGCTCTTCCTGAACAGCTGCCCCTTGGGACTGAGGCAGAGTTAATGGATTAAACAATAATAAATGAAGAGGCTGTTTACAACCTAGTTATCAAAGCACAGAAATGAATTAGCAGAACTATATGATGTGCCCCTGTGCACACATTCGATGATGAGCGTGTGTGTGTGTGTGCGCGTGTGTGCGTGCGTGTGTGTGTGTATGTGTGTGTGTGTGTGTGTGTGTACTCTGCGTAGATTCTTTGATGCATTATCCAAATCTCTGTTCCTTGGAGGCCTCACTGTACCCACCCTGCAGAGGAGAATAGGGAGTTCAATGTGCTCATCGGTTGGTGGAAGGTTGTTGTTAGTTTATATTAATGTTTTTTTTCCCCAACTACCTTCAGCAGTTATCATGAAAACTCCCCATCCTGAAATACCTTTTATGTGCTTGTTAAGAGTTTGAGAAAAGCTCAGAGTTAAATTGTAGTCACACAAAGTAGTGAGTTAAGGGAGAAAACAATTTCTTGTACCCATGACACCACACATACAAGTCAGGTGTAACAGGTTCTTAATTTGATATTCATGAAATTCAGGGGTGTAAACCATTCTTTTATTGTATGGGTGAGGGAGAGGGGTCAAGTAACCCAATCAAGATCATACAGGAAATGTGCAGGTGGAGGTGGATTTGAACCCTGGATTTCAGGCTTCTAAGGCCATGATCTCTCTGTGACACCCACACGTCTGCCAAACAAAGTAAGTTTGGTGGATAAGGGAGGGGGGGAAGGTGCTGAGGTCACAGCACATTTATGTGTTTGTATCTTTTATTACACCTTTGTGCTGTGACAAAGTTTCTGGACATTTAAAGTGAAATTAAAAGGACTAAATGACAAAGCAAATGAAAGAATCTCCATTGTACATTAAGGCGATATTTTCTTTAAAAAACATTCTGGAAAATTCTATATTGTTAGAAGAGAATTCAGCAAGTCATTCTGTATCTGGATTTTCGAGAACCGCAGTGCACGAGACACACGAAGGACTGGGAAGTCTGCGGTGGGAAGACCTGGGCCCCATTGTCACACTTCGTATTTCTTAAACGCTTTTTGACCGTGGTTCTTTCCCTAGTGAAGACTTATTATCTCCTAGGTTTCAGCATTTTGTTAAAAGTACCGTAGCTTAGGCTTTGAGCTTTAAACTATCAGCAACAGCATGTGCTGTGTGAAAGTCTTTTCCTGGGGAGACACAACACTCATACACAACACAAGTCTACAGAGCCCACAACAGGCCAAAACAATGATTGCAATGAAGTCCAAGCTAGTGGACCAATGAGTTTTTACTGGGGTCTCTGCGAGAAGAATGGGTGAGCTGTTACTTACAGACACAGGAAAGCAGAGGTGAGAAAGAAAGAAAGAGAGAGAGAGAGAGAGAGAGAGAGAGAGAGAGAGAGAAAGAAAGAAAGAAAGAAAGAAAGAAAGAAAGAAAGAAAGAAAGA